GACAGCCGTGGGGTGGGGACAGCCTTGCGGTGGGGATGGAGGCAGTGATGGCTGTAGGCAGAGCATGGCCGTGCACGGCAGCGGGCACCTGGCTGGCGCGAGGGGTGGCAGAGCGAGCCTGCGGCACCACTGCCCCCGTGACCCCCGCTGCGAGTCAGCCTGTTTGCTTCACACTAAAGACCGTAAAGAGGGTAAAACAAGAGCCGTTTGTTCAAAACACGGGGACTGTTTAGCACCCCAGCCCTCCCGCTCGCTCCAACCGCTTGCACGACGTACTGAGCTCACAGCCTGCAGCCTGCGCCCGCGTCCCCCGTGCCTGCACGCAGCCCTCAGCGGTGCTGGTGGATGGTGGAGTGCTGGGATTGCCGCTCTGGGGCTGTCGCCGTGGCGGTTTCTTGCTCCAGTTGCTTCTCTCTGCGGTAGGCAGGCCAAAGCGACACTTCTGCACAAACCCAAGCGAGGGGCATCGATTAGTGGAGGGAGGAAAATCATGCTGGGGCAGAAAATCCTGCTAATTGCAGCTGTTCAGATCCAATTAAAAAACAAAACAAAACAAAAACCCAAACCAAAACTCAAACCCAAACACAAAACCATCATTGGAAATATGAAAAATAAACCCCTGCCTTCTTGAACAGATGGCAAACTCTGCTGAGTTTGTGTAGCCTGCATCTCTCTCTCTCCTGTCTCCTCCCGTCTGCCCAGGACATGTGTTTCCGTAAGGCTGTCGCTTACAAAGACCAGCTCTTTTCTAACGCTCCAAGGCCAGCCCACGGTTTGCTAGCAGAAGAATTTGCATCTGAGGATGGGGCAAGGGCACACGCGAAAGGCAGCTGGGGTCTCATTTCAGCCTCGAGGAGAACATGGTGAACCGACAAACCCCCGCTCTGCTGCGTCCCGTTGCTGGTTTCCTGGTGCAGCATCTGCAGGGCTGTGGCTCCCCACCCGCCTCTCGGGGGGGCGCGCCCCCCTGACGGATGTGGGCGAATTAATGAGCGACCGTGCTCCCAGCGGGCATCTCAGAGCAGCCGCCCTCCCTCGGGCTGCTCAACCTCCACGGCAAGCCATGAGACTTCATGCGAAACGCAGTCACATAAACAACCGGTTTGCCAACTTCTTAAAGACTTTCAAAATCTGATCAAAACCCCACCAGCCCCAAATATTTACACGATGTCACTATGGTGATGGAGAAAAATACATCCTGAGCTGCAGGAAGCAGGCTGCGCTCTCCAGGCAGGGATGGGCAGGCAGGGGAAGGATGGAGGCCATCACTAACATGGCTTTTTTTTTTTTTCCTCTGAAGCAAACGGCCTGGGAAAGTGGGTGCCGGAGCAGCGGGGGGATGCTTGTGGGGCATTCCCTGGGGATGAGCGTGGGGGGCAGCTTGGGCAGCTGCAAGGAGCCCAAGGGAGCCACAGGAGGGTCCCTTCGAAAGGGCACAGGGCAGCCTCGGTAGCGCCCGTCGCCCCGAGC